TTTTTTAGTAGAGATGGGGTTTCATTATGTTGGCCAGGCTGGTCTCAAACTCCTGACCTCAAGTGATCATCCGCCTCAGCCTCCCAAAGGGTTGCGACAGATTACAGGCATGAACCACCACACCCAGCCCCCTCAGTGTATTCCCTCAGTGTATTTTTGAGTCCTCTGTCTCCCCCCAACCCCCTGCCACGGTGAGCCCACTCCACTATAAGCTGTGGGACCTGCCCTGGCGGGATAACAGATCTAGGATGTGGAACCTCTGGTGGCATGGATGAGGTGGTTGGCAGGGACCTGTCACCGAGGTGGCCATGCATATCCTGCTGGTGAATATCCACATATTGCTAACCCTTAGGCTCCTTACCGTCAGCTCTAGCTCTTGTATCCCTTTGGGTATGGCTGTTGGCTGGGCTCCCTGGGAGAGAAGTCCCTGGATCCATCAGCTGAGCCAGTGGGCCTTGCCCAGCAGCTCTGAGGCCAGCAGGAGGCATCTCATTGGCGCGGGGTCCCTGACAGACCTGGGTGGACCAGGGTGGACTTGGCTCTGGGCCAAGCAGGTCCATGCCTGGCCCCAAGGACATGGGTGGCAGGCTATGACTACAGCGAGTGCCCTCATCCAGTGGGGCCCCCTGATCTTGCTGGGCTTCTTGGATGGGTGAGAACTCCTGGGAGGAGTCCCCAACACTCACACGAAGTGGCGGTGAGCCAGAGCCTCCAGTTTTCTTCCGGCCCTTGGCCAGCTCAGCAAAGGAGGTGACTCTCCTGGGTGGGGAGCTGGGCCCAACAATAGCTCCAGGGCCCTCACTCAAGCGCACTGGGCAACTCAACATGCGTTCCAGTGAGCCCAGGCGGACAGGAGGGCTGCGCTGCAGGCTGCGATCATAGCTGCGGGAGCGCTGACGTCCAGTGCTGAGGTTGGGAGGTGAAGTATTCGTGTACACTTGCCCCTCAAGCACAGTGGGGCCCATAGCAGCTGTTGCTTGGACGGAGGAACTCACTCCCTCTTGTTCCTCTGGTTGGACTTCTGGCTTCTGGAATAGGTAATACTCAGAGGGCTGGCTGGGGCCTGGGTCTGGGCCAGGGCCTGGTGGGGGACTTATCTTGGTGTGTTCCTCAGAGCAGCTAGTGATGGAAGAGCCAGCAGGGCTTGGGGATGATTGGGAGGAGAGGTCACAGGTGACAAGTTTATAGTAATTTTGTGTGGCCACAACAAGACGGGCCTGGCTCTGGAAGCAGGCTGTGAGGTCAGCCACTGCTGGGCACGGCTCACAGTGTGGGCGGTAGGAGTTGCAGTTGGCATCAAGCTCAGGAGATGAGGCATGAGGGCAACCATAGCCCCCTTCCCTTCCTGTACTTTCAGGGTGATGTGACTCACAAGACATCTTAGACTCAGCTGGGGAGGGCTGCAGATCCAGGTAGAAGGCGCCAGGGTCTGAGTGGCTGCAGAAGGAAGAGTCGCTGCAGGACTGTGGGGCAGAGTTGAGATTGGCACGGGGGGTGCCATGCATCTTGTTGTAGAGGGTGCTGAAGGTGACCAGCACACCATCTGAACTGTTGCAGGAGGAGTCGCTCACGTAGCCCATAGACTGATCAGCTGCCTCGGACTGACTGGATGTGCTACTGCAGCGGCAGTGCTGGGCTCCTGAGCCAGAGCATCCTGGGTTCCTTGGGGATTCATCTGAACTAAGCTTCCATTCCTGGTCAAAGGAAAAGCCAGAGGTATCACTGGCTCCACCCCCGCTGCCACTCCCACCAGGTCCCCCACACTCATCCAGCTCCATGGTCTCTGCTTCCAGCTCTGGCCGGCAACAGCGGCTGGTGTCACACTGCTGAGTATTTAAGGTCATCACTGGCTCCTGCTCCTGCCCTTCCACCACTCCAGCCCGACTGCGTGTTGCCCCCCATGGCCTGCCCACTCCGGGGCCAGATGGTGGCAGCTGGAAAGAGGATAGATGGAAGGTGGGCTGGCCAGTGCCATGCAGGTGGAAGGACTGCTGGGTGGCACTGTCACCAATGCTGTCATCATACAGGTCACCAAGTCCTGGCTCACCCACACCATCCTGCAGCAAGAAGGGGTTGTGTCGTTTGGGGGCTCCAGGACCTCTTCCATCCCGACTCCTAATCTTGCTGTCTGTAGACCGTGCAGTTCCTCCTGGAGCAGAGTGCAGGCTGCTGTATAGCAGGGAGTCGGCTTGTCCTAGGTCTTGATCGGGCTGGGTGATGCCTAGCTCAGGTGGGCAGAAGGGATTAGGTCTTGTGCTCCCACTGCCTCCGCCTGCCCCTCCACAGCACTGCCTGTCTGGGACTTGACAGTGCACCAGAGGGATGTGATGAACGATGAGGGTCTCTCCAGTCAGCTTTGGGGGACTATCCATTCTGGAAAGTTCGAATAAGGGCATCAACAGCACCAGACACTGTCCCCGGAGCCCAGTGGGACAGAACACATTTCATCAGGAGAGCTTGGCACCTGGAGAGAGAAGGAAAGAAAGGGAACCTAATGTCACCTCCCTGGAAGCCAGGGACATGCCCTTCCCTACTTCATTTTCAGGTGGAGAAGAACCCAGGAAGCTTGAGTCAAGGTGGAGCTTGACTGCACAGCCCAATAGGTGGGTGGGGACCTCACCATGCTTTCTGCATTGTACAGGTCCAGCACCAGAGGTCCCCCTTAATTTTAAGGTCATCATGCCTCAAATTATGACAAAAGGCCAAGTCCCTCTAATGCCACATATAAAGGCCTGGACAGTACTTTCCCATTCTCTTTCAAGGACCTTGTCCTTGGCAGTAAACAATGACTAGTCTTGAGCACAAAAAAAGTATGAATAATGACACAAGCAAAAACCATCTAGGATGTCTAAGCTATAGCACACAAGTTACAGACTAGGGGAAATATCATGAATAATATCACAAACTCATAGCAATATGCTATAATTTTGCAAGAAGCATATTTAAAAATAATATGGTATCATCTGACCAAGGGACTTCTCTCTGGTCCCCTTTATCCTCCTATGAGCCCCAGAATATTTGTCCCTCTCTGATGACTGTGGGCTAAGTATCCTTACTATCCTCACTGCTGTACTAGAGCTTCTTGAATGCAGAGACTGAGTTGGGCATTAGGGTGAATGCAAGTATGATGTCAACCTCTTCCTCCTCAATGGGGGGTAGGGGAACCTATTTTTATGTCTTTTGTATTAGTCTAACACATCACATAAGATAAACGTGAAAGGCAAAATATATTCCTAACGTGTCTAGCTCAGGATACAGATGTCCTGAAGTGCCCAAATGCTGCCCAGTTTTAGCTTAGAACCTTCACTACTGGGATCCACTAGAAAGTCTTCTCTTCTCAGTTTTACTTTTTACAGACTAAAGCAAAGTTCCCTCTTGTTCAAGGTCTCCTGGTGCCAAGGACACAGCCCATCCTGAGCTTCTCTAGTCTCTTGGCTGCCCGATGGCAGTGTGGCCCGCTGAAGTTCTAGTCTCCTGTGTTTCTACGTTCAGGTCTCAACAGTCTTCATTCCCTCTCCTCCTTCACATGTAATGTTCCAAATTCATTCATTTCTCTACCCTTTTTATTCCTATCATTTCCTTTTCACTCACTCTGAGTCTAAATCCCCCATTGCCCTTCTCTTATTCATCATTTAACTGAATCTTTGACACCATTAATTTCTTAAAATTTAACTCATTTAAATCATAGGGTCCCAGCTCATCATGTGGAATATTGTAAAGCCTAAGGCAAGTCACATATGCTCAAGGACATGAACAATGCACAAAAAATCATGGTTAATAAGTATACGTGCAAGGGACAAGGTATTAAAATGTAATTGTGTTAAATTTAAGCAGCAATTATTTACAATCTTGCTTCCTCCTCCCCTTTCTAAGAGGAAGGCAGGTTCCTCTGTTGAACTTCCAAGACTTTGTGTGTTTACTGGGCTAATGGGTAGAGATGTAGAAGGGCAGATATTAACAGAGTCTAAACTGAGCTACAAGATTAAGGGTTATAGAAGAAAACGTAGGAGTAAATGATGTTTGTTTTCTTGGATTAGGTGATAGTTTCTTAGATATGACACCAAAGGCACAAATGACAAAAGAAAAAACATAAATGGGACTCCATAAGAACAAAAAACCTTTGTGCTTCAAAGGATATCACCAAGAAAGTGAAAAGACAATCCATAGAATGGGAGAAATATTTGCAAATCATATACCTGATAAGAGACTTCTAATCAGAATATATAAAGAATTTTTACAAATCAACAATAAAAAGACATATGAGGCCGGCGCAGTGGCTCATGCCTGCAATCCCAGCACTTTAAGAGGCCAAGGCAGGCAGATCACAAGGTCAGAAGATTGAGATCATCCTGGCCAACATGGTAAAACTCCACCTCTACTAAAAATACAAAAATTAGCTGGGTGTGGTGGCGTGTGCCTGTAATCCCAGCTACTCAGGAGGCTGAGGCAGAATTGCTTGAACCAGGGAGTTGGAGGTTGCAGTGAGCTGAGATCGTGCCACAGCACTCCAGCCTGGCAACAGAGTGAGACTCCATCTCAAAAAAGAAAAAAAAAAAAAGACTTCTGTTTAAAACATGGCAAACTGACTGAATAGGCATTTCTCTGAAGACATATAAGTGGCTAATCAGCACACAAAAAGTTGTTCAACATCATTAGTCATTAGAGAAATAAAAATCACAATGAGATACTATCACTCCCGCTGGGATGGATAAAATAAGAAATACAGACAATAGCAACTAGCAAATGATAATGATGAGGATGTGGAGAAACTGGAACCCTGAAACATTGCTGGGGGTATTGTAAAATGGTACAGCTACTTTGGAAAAGTCTGACAATTCCTCAAAATGTTAAACATAGTGTCATCACATGACCCAGCAGCTGCACTCCTGGGTATGCACCCAAGAAAAATGAAAACACATGTTCATACTAAAGTTTGTATACAAAAGTTCATAGCAGCATTATTCACAGTAGCCAAAAAATTGGGCACCATCAAAGCCAGCCACAAAGGGCTTTTATGATGTATGATTCCATTTATATGAAATGTCCAGAATAGGCAAATCCATCGAAATAGAATGTCCTGAATTTAGGCCAGGCCTGGTCAGTGGCTTTCGCCTGTAATCCCACCACTTTGGGAGGCCAAGGCAGGCAGATCATTTGAGGTCAGGAGTTTGAGACCAGCCTGGCCAACATAGCAAAACACTGTCTCTACTAAAAAGACAGAAATTAGCCAGGGCTGGTGGTGGACATCTGTAATCCCAGCTCCTTGGGAGGCTGAGGCAGGAGAATCGGTTGAACCCGGGAGGCAGAGGTTTTGGTAAGCCAAGATTATGCCACTGGGAGACAGGAAGATTCCGTCTCAAAAAAAAAAAAAGATAAACAGCATATACAGTTTGACACCATTTTTGTAAATAAACATGTCTACATGCATAGAAGAAAACCTGTAACATGTGCAACAAACTGTTACCAGTACCTATCTACATTGAGTGATTTGGATTATTTTTAATTGTATTCTTTTTGCTTCATCTGTATTTTCTAATTTGTATGTAATAAATATCTATTTTGTGCATAATTTAAGCAATTTTTTTCTTTTCCTTTTTTTTGAGATAGGTTCTCACTCTGTCACCCAGCCTGGAGTGCAGTGATATGATCATGGCTCACTGCAGCCTTACCGTCCCAGGCTCAGGTGATCCACCCTCAGCCTCCTGAGTAGCTAGGACCACAGGTCCATGCCACCATGCCTGGCTAATTTTTATATTTTTTGTAGGGACAGGGTTTCTCCATGTTGTCAAGACTGGTCTCCAACTCTTGGGCTCAAGTGACCCACCCGCCTTGGCTTTCCAAAGTGCTACAATTACAGGTATGAGCTAACATGCTGGGCCTAAACAATTTTTTGAGGGGGTTTCTCTTTACACACATACTAGGTTTCCTCCGGAATCCAGGCCATAATCCTAAGGCCTGGACTAAACGGAGTATGGAGAACTTTCTTACACAGAATGCAGTAATTTTAGGGCTACCCATGGGTTGCAACCATTATTGACCTTCAGTGAGTACCTTTTCTTCCCTTTTAAAGCATCATTTTCAAGAGGCATTCACAACTATCACATAAAAGAATTTATGATTCTACCCACACAACCATTACTAGGACATACATGCATTCATATGGAAAAACTGACACACACATACTGAATGCAGAAAGCTGACTCTAAATCAGGGATGAGGAACAAATGTATATGGGAGGTGATGATGGTGCCCCTGGCTGGAGGGCATTCACAGTTGTATTGAAATGTGATGTTGACAGATCTGTCTCCCAGACTGGAGCACAGTTCCAAGGTTGGTGACTGCAATACAGTAAACTCTGCTTGGAACACAGTAGGTGCTTGGTTATTTGTTGACTACCCATCAAAAAAAACACTGAGTTGTTAGTCTTTTTATGATGGAATTACAGGAGTTTTAACATTTATTCTGCATACAAGTCCTCTGTCAGATATATGCCTCATGAATATTTTCTCTCAGCCTATGGCTTGCCTCTATTTTCTTAACTGTATTTTTTGATAAATAGAAGTTTTTAATTTATCAGATTTAAATTTATCAATTTATCAGTTTGTTTCTTCTATGGTTAAAGCTTTCTGTATCCTAAGAAATTTTTATCTATCCTAAGATCATAAAGAAATATTCCTATGTTTTCTTCTAAAAGATGTACAGTGTTAGCTTTTACATTTAGGTTGTATTGAATCCTACTAAGTGTCAAGCTGTTTCACTGATTGATTTCATTTTATTTTATATTTCTGTATCTCAGAGAAGATCTTATTCCTTTCTGGTCTCCACACAACCAAGAGAAATGCCCAGAAATGGCTCCTCCACAGAAAATTCCAATTCAGCCATCTAAGGGGAAGTTCTGCAGGCATCTCATAAGATTTTCTACTCGTGCTTTGCCCACCCCGTTAACATTTTTTTTACAAAGCACTTTTTATGTATGTCATATCTCATTGATCCTTACATCAACTTACCAAAGAAGGCGGAGCCATCTTCATTTTTAAAAATAAGGAAATTTACACCCAGAGAAATGAAATGACTTGCCCAAGACCACTCAGTGAATAAATAACAGAATTAAGATTAGACTCAGGAATCCTAACTTTTGACCTCTTTTCTTGATCAGTTAAGAATATAATGAGAGTAGGCCGGGCACAGGGACTTATGCCTATAATCCCAGCACTTTGGGAGGCCCAGACAGGCAGATCACGAGGTCAAGAGATTCAGACCATCCTGGCCAACATGGTGAAACCCCGTCTCTACTAAAAATACAAAAAATTAGCTGGGTGTGGTGGTGCATGCCTGTAGTCCCAGCTACTCGGGAGGCTGAGGCAAGAGGATAGCTTCAACCCAGGAGGCAGAGGTTGCAGTGAGCTGAGATCCAGCCTGTACTCCAGCCTGGCAACAGAGCGAGACTCCATCTCAAAAAAATTAAAAAATAAGAGTAAACTGTACATATGACACCACAGAAAACATTTACTGAGTGTGTATCTTAGACTTCTTTCCTGGGAGTGACTTTTTCTACATCAAGACAAGTGGCCCATCCCCTCTAATGAAGGTGAAGAGAAAACACTGAGCGGGAAGAGCTCATTTCAGACTTTTTAAACCCTGATTATGGAGAGACATGGAAGATGAGGATGGGGAAGAAACAGAGGATTCAGAAGAAGAAGAAAGTAGAAGACAGCTCTTTCAGAAGATGAACTCTCTAGCTATGCCTACCAGGTAGAGTGGAATGGTGGGCTCAGCCAGTATAAAGTTATGAGGTCTTGCTCTCCAAAATCAGGAAAAGCTTTCTATGAGAGCCCTTTTCCTGGCCCTTGTCCCAAATGGGTGTCTCTTGTCCTGTTATAATACTATTTATTAGTGATCATTTATTAAACATTTATATGTTTACATACATTACATATATCATCTCTAAATGCACTGTCACATTTTCAAATAGGCATAATCCTTCCCATTGTACAGATGAGAAAACCAAACTTAGAGTGTATAAGTAGTTTGCCCACATTTACACAGCTGAGATGGGATTCAATCCCAGGTCTGCCCAATTCCTAATTATTTCCAAAGAAAATGATTGGGGCCACACCCTCTTCTTAAAGTCCTTGCAATTACTCTGCTCCCAGAGCAGCTGCTTCCTACCTGTCCTAGGTAGACCCACATTTCTGCCTCCACTTACACTGGCTATGTCTACCTGCCTCTCTATTCTATGAACCTACAATCCCTTTCATAGTGTCCCCAGGCTCTGATAACACTTGTAAATTCCACCTCCTGCCCCAGTTCCCAGCTGTCATCTCCCTGCCCCATTCATGGTCCTAAGGCTCATTTTTCCCTGCTCTGTGGTTTACATTCCTAGACAATTCCTGGGAACAAATACACTGCCATAACTATCCAGTGTATTCCTCAACCACATATTTGCACAACATGGCACTGCTCTCTACCTATTATCCTATGTTTTTGAACCATCCACCAAGGTGTTTATTAGAAATGGGAATTTTAATTATTTTTTACCGACAGTCTAGCTTTGTTGGCCAGGCTAGGGTGCAGTGATGCATTCATAGCTCACTGCGCCTTGAAATCCTGGGCTCAAGTGATCCTCCCACCTCAGCCTCCTTAGTAGCTGGGACTACAGGCACACACCACAATGCCTGCCTAATTTTAAAATTTTCTGTAGAGACAGGGTTTCACCATGTTGCCCAGGCTGTCTCAAACTCCTAGGCTCAAGTGATCCTTCCGCCTCAGCCTCTCAAAGTGCTGGGATTACAGGCGTGGAAATGGGAATTTAAGCAACTTTTTCTACCTGCTCAGAAATGGAGCAACTCCGTGCAGGAAAACCCCAGAAAAAAAAGATTTCCTCTAGCTTTGGTCATCAATGTCTTTCTGCCAGTCATAGAACCCCTTCCGTCTTTTTTGGCCTTCTGAATACAGACAGGGGAGAAAATGGTCCTCAGCTGCCATTCTCTAGCAATCTGACCTTGACTTGAGATCCTGACGAGGGGCCTCTGTAGGACTGATAACCCTTTTCCTGACTGGTCCTATCGTGGGTAGGGTCAAAGGGAGGAGGGCAGGAGGGCAGATTTGGGAGTGTTAGCTTATGCTCAGGTCTCTTCTTGAAGGCTGACTGTAACAGGTCAGGTGCCCTAGGCATTACAGACTGTCTCTGCCCCTCCCATACACTGTGGGGCACCCTGGTCAGTGTTCTTGCTCCATCCTTACCTGGAGCCTGGTGGCTCCCACAGCACCAGAAGATGTGGTATAAGTACCTATGTGCATGTATGTATTTGCATGTATATGTATGTGCATGCAGGTATGTATGTGTGTGGAGAGAAAGGCTTCCCAGCCCCTCTTCTTGAAAGCCGCCTGGATCCTCGCATGTTTTCCATCATAAACTTACAGTAGCTGCAGGGGTGTCTCCTCCCATTAAGCCTTTGTTTCTAGATCTGACTCCCCCATCCCTGACCCATACTGTAGCAGCTTCATTAGAAATGCCCAAAAAGTAAGGATGAGATCTGCTTCTTGATAAAATAGCATAAATGACATTAGCCCAAGCCTTGGCTTTTCCCCATCTCTGCACCATAGCCCAAATGTATGCATGGATGAGCTTGTCTAATGCTTGTGCTTCTGCACGTTCCCCTCCTTCATCCTCCCACCACCCACCGCCCCCCTCTCCCTTTTGGAAAGACAAAGCCAGCCCTCAGAAGCCAGAGCCCAAAGGTGCTGATCGCTATCCTAGCATCTCTGCCCTGCCCCTCCCCCAGCCCCCTGAGCCATACCTCTGTCAGGAGCCTTGAGCTAGACCCCGACGCATCTGTTCCTTTTGCACTCCGACCAAGCTCTACCCCGACAGTTCCAGCTGAGGCACTATTCCACTGGACCACACAGGGGAACTGCACCGATTTCCTAAGATCTGATTTCTGCTAATACAATGGCATTGTTGCTAATGCAGGGAGGCTGCGCAATCCCAGCCCCAGTCTCCGTGCTGCTGCCGCGGCTGCTGGTGCTGCGGTGACGTTGCTGCTAAAGGAAGGGGGAAGGGAAAGGAGCAGGCAGGCCCACAGCACAGCCACTCAGCCTCCCTCCCTTCCAGTCCCTGTGGGCCCTTTAGCCTAGGGAAGGGGGAGGGCAGTGAAAGGAGCCAGCCACAGAGGGCAGTCAGTGCTGGAAGATGGAGAACTCTCAAGACAGCAAGGAAAAATGGGGAGAGTTGCATCTAACTCCTTTCTTGTCTTTAGGCATTTCAGGGAAGATGTCTGAGCAGAACCTTTGAGCTTCCTTCCTTCCTTCATTAAGCTCCTTTTATATCTTAGCCAGAAACCTCTCCCTCCTCTTTTTGCCCAGTGTGAATGACTCTGTTTTCCAGCTTTTTCCTCTAACCAGGATTCCAGACTAGCCTCAGGGTGGGGCAGTCAGCTTGGGAGGGGATTCCTGAAGCCCAGAAGGGAGGCAGCAGGGACCAGTCACCATTCTGCCAGCAGTAACACCCAGCTCAGTCCTGGTGGATGGCCCACGAGTCTTAGCACTGGCCTTCCTAGAGACGTGGGGCAGTGGGCAGGCTTCTATACCCTGGGTGATGGTAAGTCTTAGGACCAAGGGGGCTGCAGGCCTTCTTCCTAACATGGTATTCCATTCAGTTCCCTGGGTCTTCAGAGGTCTACTTGCTGTGGCTGAAGTGGAACTGGCCCCTCTCGCATTCGTAGGTTCTTGGTCAGTGCTGAGCTGGGTCCAGCTAGGTTTGTGTGGAGGCAGAATCCCTCTATCCAGGCTGAGGGGCCAGAAAGCCTATCTTCCCAGGGAAAGGAAGGCAGGGGACAGGGAGTGGTCTCTCCTAGGCCACAGAAAAATCTCAGTTCTGCCTGGAGACCTACAGAGTCCTCTGCCCCTTCCCTGTTCCACCCTCCTCAGGTTCTGGGCCAATTCTGTGGGAATAAGGAAAAAATGGAGAAACTGCAGCTAGAGCCAGTTATACAGGAAGAAGTGGCATGGTCTCTGTCCACTTTGTGCCACTGGTCCCTACACTTGAACACAGAGATGGTCTCAAGCGGGGCTTGGTTCCCAAGCACTAGCCCTGCCTAGAGCTCTTCCCAAGGTGACTACTATCTGGGCTCCACAGCCACGCCCTCAGATTTCAGGTCCTTAGAAAGAATCCTTTGGAGAAACCACTTGCCAAGACCATAACAGCTAACCCTCAGGATCCATAAGAGATGTAACTTTTCTTTCCCTTTCTTATTTCTCCTATTCCCTATGACACCCATGTGTCTGCTGACACCATGCTGAGCTGAATCAACTGTAGAGAGAACACAAAGACAAAAAGACCCATCTCCAGCCTTGACTTGTTTGAGCAGCCATGGCCCCTTGATCTTATAAAGCAGGAAACAGGAAGGAAAGGAAGGAGGGAGGCTGCTGTTCGTAGCCAACCATTAGCGGTCCTCTCAAGGAGGCTGAAAGGTGTGGAAATGGTGTCACTTGCCTTCCTCTCTCCTAGCTGATACAGACCACAAAGTGGGGATAGATAAGCATCTGTAGGTTAGGGCATCAATCTTTATGACCAAGCACCTGGAGTTTGAGCTGCTTACTGTGAGAGCTCTGGGCCCAGGGTCTTTGTCTCTGAAATTTCTGTGAGGCTAAGTCATGCATTGCGCTGGACAGCCAGTGTTTCCGATTGCCTATGGAGGGTGGCAGCTCTCAGACTTCTAGTGCTTGGCTTAATTCACCACATCACAGACTACCTTGCCACTTACTTCCCAACCACTGCTGCCAAAGATCTAGGGCTTTTGAGGAAAGATCAAATTATTTTCCAGCCAGAAACAAAACACAAATACTGTTATGTTATATACCTCGACCACCTCCTAACTGGTCTCCACACTTGCAATTGACTTTCTAGTACTACCAGATTCATCTCCCCAAAGCACTACCTTTCTTCAACATGTCACTCCTCCTGCCCGTTTTAATGGTTTCTCATTACCCAGATAATCAAGTTGAGCCTCCTCATTTTGGCTTTCAAGGTCATCCATCTCGGCTGTCTACTCTTTTTTTTTTTTAAGTTTCACTCTTGTCATCCAGGCTAGAGTGCAGTGGTGCGATCTTGGCTCACTGCAACCTCTGCCTCCCGGTGTCAAGTGATTCTTGTGCCTCAGCCTCCTGCGTAGCTGAGAGATTATAGACACCCGCTGCCATGCCTGGCTACTTTTTGTAGTTTTAGTAGAGACGGGGTTTCGCCATGTTGGCCAGGCTGGTTTCAAACTCCTCACCTCAGGTGATCCACCCGCCTCAGCCTCCCAAAGTGCTGGGATTACAGGTGTGAGCCACCGCGCCGGCCTTGGCTGTCTCTTCCACTCAACCTTACTTTCTACATCCCATCATGTAGTCCTTGAAACATGTTTCAGAAGCTCATTTCCACTCGGCTGCATTTGTTCATTCAGACTCTCCTTCCTGTTACACTTGGCCCTGCTCAAAATTATCCAAACCTACCAGGCCCAGAGCAACTCCTCCATCAAGTCTTCTCTTACTACCCCAGAGCCAGAAATAATCTGTTCTCTGAACCAGTAGTTGCAGGTTGTTGATTTTACAGACAAGAAAACAATTCCCACAAAAAACAGGGAGATCAATATTGGATTGCCAACTTCTTACATTGTCAAGTAGCATCATTACAAAAAACTTTACATCATTGATCACCATTTCATAAGAAAATGGTACTTTTCTCGTTGCATTGCATACTGATGGCAAACTTCATCAGCAACTAGCATCAGTCCCTGAGAAGTTTTGATTAAGTAAATCATGCCACTTAACATGCTTATTGTTCTTTTTTGCACATCTGCCTTAACATCTCTCCTAGACTGCAAAGTCTGAGTTACATTCATCTTAGCAACTTCATTATCCAGTATATAAGACAATATCATTTTTTTTGTGTGTTTCCCATAAAACCTAGCATAGTGCTTGGCATATTCAAGGTGTTTTGAGCTTGGCATATGGAAGTCTTGTTGAACAAGAGTAATCTAAAAAGAGAGGCTCCTTGTGTATAAATCAGAATAAGTGGTGGGTAGACTTGACTCAACAGGCATGGAAGAAGAGACTGTTTCTCATAAAAAAAATCTGTTAAAAAGAAACTTCGGCAGCCAGGTGCGGTGGCTCACGCTTGCAATCCCAGCACTTTGGGAGGCCAAAGTGGGCCAATCACCTGAGGTCAGGAGTTAGAGACCAGCCTGGCCAACATGGTGAAACCCCGTCTCTACTAAAAATACAAATATTAGCCAGGCATGGTGGTGGGCGCCTGTAATCCCAGCTATTCGGGAGGCTGAGGCATGAGAATCACTCAAACCCGGGAGGCAAAGATTGCAGCGAGCCAAGATCATGCCACTGCACTCCAGACTGGGCAACAAGAACAAGACTCTGTATCTAAAAAAAAAAAAAAAAAAAAAAAAAAAAAAAAAAAGCAGCTTAGGCAACAAAGGAGTAACTCTTCACAACCTAGGGTTAGGCAACACATTCTTAGACATGATAGCAAAAATACAAGTGACAAAAGAAAAAAAAACCTTTGACTTGCTGCTGGCAAAATGAAAAAAAAAAATAATAAAAACAGATAAACTGGACTTCACAAAAATTTAAGACTTTTGATCTTCAAAGGACTCAATCAAGATAGTCAAAAGACAACTTGTGAGAAAATTTGCAGATCATATAGCTGATAAGGGACTTATATCCGGAATATATTTAAAAACCCTTACAACTCAGTAATAAAAAGACAAATAAAATAAGCAAAGGGGGCTGGGTGCAGTGGCTCACACCTGTAATCCCGGCACTTTGGGAGGCCAAAGTGGGTGGATCACGGTCAGGAGTTTGAGACCAGCCTGGTCAACATGGCAAAACCCATCTCTACCAAAAAAATACAAATATTAGCCGGGTATGGTGGTGCACACCTGTAATCCCAGCTACTCAGGAGGCTAAGGCACAAGAGTAGTTTGAACCCAGGAGGTGGAGTTGCAGTGAGCTGAGATCACACGCCCCTGCACTCCAGCCTAGGTGACAGAGTGAGACCCTGTCTCAAACAAATAAATAAGTAAATAAATAAAATAAAAATGGGCAAAGGATTTGTGTGTGCGTGTGTGTGTGTGTGTGTGTGTGTGTGTGTGTGTGTGTGTGTCTGTGTATTATTTGTAGAGATGGGGGTCTCACTATGTTGCCCAGGCTGGTCTCAAACTCCTGGGCTCAAGTGATCCTCCTGCTTTGGCCTCTCAAGATGCTGGGATTATAGGCATGAGCCACCATATCTGGCTGGGCAAAGGATTTGAATAAACATTTCCCCAAAGAAGACACACAAATGGTGAAGCCCTTATATAAACAAATGCTTAACATCATTAATCATTAGGCAGTACAAATAAAAACTGAAGTGAGATACTACTTGACCCCATTAGAATAGCTAAAATAAAAAAGGCAGGCAATCACACATATTGACAATGATGTGTAGAAAACGGAACCCTCACACATTGCTGAGGGCACTGCAAAATGGTGCAACCACTTTGGAAAACAGTTCTGGCAATTTCTCAAAATGTTAAAGAGTCACCATGTGACCTAGCAATTCTGCTTCTAGGTATATACCTACAAGAAACAAAACAAAATCCACACAGAAGCTTATATATGAATATTCCTAGTAGCATTATTCATAATAGTAAAAAACTAGGAGCAACCAAAATGTTCATCAACAGAAGAAGGGATAAATAAAACATGGTACACACAATGAATTACTATTCAGCAATAAAAGGGAATGAGGTCCTGATAAATGCTCCAACATGGATGAACCTTGAAAACATTACACTAGGTGAAAGAAGAAACACAGGTCACATATTGTTTCATTCCATTTACATGATATGTCCAGACAAGGCAAATTTATAGAGACAAAAAGTAGATCAGTGACTGCCAGAGGCTGGAGAGACAGAGAGATGGGGAGTGCCTGCTAATGGGTGCGGGGTTTCTTGGGAATGATGAAATGTTCCAAAATTAGACTATAGTCATAATTGCACAACTCTGTGAATATACTTAAACGATTGAATTGTATGCTTTAAATGGTGAAACGTATGGTATGTCAATTATATTTCAATAAGGCTGTTAAAAACAGTGGCAGCAGCTACAGGAGCTTGAGTGGTGTTGCTCAGCTCCACAGAGGCAGAAATGTTTGAGAACCCCACAACTGGGGGTGTGGGTGAAAGGTGGAATGTCAGGTGTACCAGAAAGCAGAGGCTGTCACTGTATGTC